GGACCGTCACCCCTATATATGAAAAATTCTAGAGAGAAATTTTTTTTTTCTTTTTTTTTTTAAACATTTGCTTTTTTTTTTTTTTTTGTTGAATTTGGGCATCTTTTTGATTTTTATTTTCAAAGATTTATTTAGTTAATCTATTCATGCTATTAAATTTGATTGCATGTATATGAATAAGCAAGCTTTAGAAAAAAAAAATCTAATTATACAGATTTCTTTGAGAAAAATAATCATCTGATGAAAATTGAGAATCGAAATTGCCCATCTAAAAAATAAATAAATAAAAAATAACAATTAGATTAAAAAAAAACAATAGATAAATAAAAAATTAAAAAATTTTTACTAGGTCATTATAATTATTAAGATCTCCATTTTCTGTGATAGAGCTTGAAAATGATTCGCACTCGTAACTACTTTTTTGTTTTTTATGTTTTGCCTCTTCATATTCTTTCGCTTCGGCTTCAGCAATTGCTAACATAATTTGGGGCGTGATAGAATTTTTATTCTCAAAAGCTCACTAAAAAAATATATATATATGTTGTACTTCAGATTAGAATCCGCCCAATTCAGAATCCGGCTGTCCCAATTCAGAATCGGGGTAGCCAGATTTAGAATTCTTGTTGCGGCTGAAGCTAGAAACGGCTGAAGCTGGAAATTTTAAATATTTTATTATGAATTTTCAAAATTTTTTGGGGTGCATTTTTTTAGCTTTTTTTTCATGGTTAGATTAGGATTTAGGGTTAGTTTTTATAATGAAAGAGTATAAGTAGATTTTGGCAGGGTTTATATTTTTAAATCAGGGTCCCTGATTTCCAGCTTCAGCCGTTTCTAGCATCAGCCGCGACAATTCTTATACGGAGTACCCGGTTTAATAATTAGTAAGGTTAGGATTAGGGTTAGAATATTAGTATAGTGAGCCGGGTACCCTGTATAAGAATTCTAAATCTGGCCGTCCTGATTCTGAATTGGGGCAGCCGGATTCCGAATCAGGCAGATTCCAAATCTGGGTACAACATATATATACATATATATATATATATACTAAAAAATACTAAAGGATTCAAAAAATATTACTGTATAAGTAAGAAAAAATATTTACCAAAAAAGCATTCACACGTCTCACAACTGATTTATCGTTACATTTAATGCTTGAACTTTTGGGATTTAAAAGAATATCATATATCGAAAGTGTGAAAGCACAATGCATTGTAGGAAGTTCTTTATCTTTATATTGTTTGAAAACCGTGTATCCGATTTTTAAAAAAAATTGCTGATCTCTAAAAAGATCTTCATAGGCAGCATTAGTCTTCGCACTTGTTTTCCATTCTGTGAGTTTTATAGAAGACGTATTGCTATCAACATAATCCAGACGTTCTTTACCAAAAACAGTAAACAAAACATGTCTAATTGCTGCTGCTATATCATTCCGTTTGCTACGACATTTGGTCTTAATCTAGATGCAAAAAAATTTGCAAAAACAATGGATCCGTAATACATTTTACAAAATTTTAAAGAATATAAAATCATTATACTTCAGGCAAAATCTTAGTTTCAAACATAGAAATCCAAGCGCTCCTTCCAACACCATCAATAAAGTGCTCAGCATGTTCAGAGAGATACTTTTTCAATGCTATACGATATTTACAGATTGATGAAAATAAGGTCGTAAGAATAAGCTGCTTTGCTACTTCTTTATAGGCTTGCTGTAAAAAAATTTGATTAAAACTTAAATTATTATTATTATTGAGATTTATACTAGATAATAACAATATTAAATCTATAACATTTTAAAAATGTAAACTTTAAGACAAAAACACTCGAGCAATTACATTCCAAAATTCGTCAGTAAGTTCATCAAGTGTGACAAGTTTTCATAAATCTTTAGAAAATTGTTGTTGTTGATCTCCAAAAAATCTGCAAAGTTTATATAGGGAGTTTAATTTTGAATCTAAAATGATTATGGAATAATTAAAGTCATCAACCATGAGGAGATTGGTTTTGTCTGTTTCTTCAGATACCAAAACATTATCAGATTGTTGTTGCAATTGGTTTCTTTGTCTCTTTTTCATAATACCATCATCAGGATTATTGTTACTTCCGCCAGAAAAAGTATCACCTCCGAATACAGAAGATTTTCTTTTTTTGCGAATCAACAGACGTTAAAATTTGGGTTTTATTTTTTGGTTGTGGCAACTCATCATTGTCTTCAACAGAGGACTCATCGCAATTTTCAACATATGCAGGATTTTTTTTTCCTTGATTTTGGGATAGATCAGAAGATTCAATATCATGTTCAACGAAAGCCGGGAGTAATTCAGGGGCATTCATGCTAGCAGATAGCATATTAAATTCATCATTTGATGTTAGACCAACTAGATTGATTAGAGTGGTTGAAGCTGAGTATGAGATTTTTCAAAAAAAATTAATATTAAGAATAATTAAAAATATAAATCAAACTTTTAAAGAAATCGTTACTAACTTTGAGATATCATCATAGAGAATTTATTTTGGGTTATGCGGGTTGCAGCATTACGCGTTCTAAGATCGGGTTCACCTTCAGTTTTTACAATGCTTTGTTTCTTCTGAAGCTTTTTTACAGGCTTTTTCACAAGCTTTCTTGTTCTGCTTCGAGACGACATAGCAATAAAAAGTGACTAGTTGAAAGAAAAAACTCACTGAGTAAATGAAAACTCCTGTTGGTTATCTAAAAGAAAAAAAAGCCTGTACAACAAAAAAGCGAAAAAAAATACCATTTATCGTTTTATATGTTCAAAAAAAAAAAACCCCCTGTATTTTTTTTTTTTTAAAAAAAAAAAGAAAGAAAATAGCGACAGCATTAATTTCACATTTAATACTGTAATGATAACAGTAATTGGTTCTAACACCATTGTCACAAGAAAGTTATAGAACTATATTATTATTCAATTAATCGCCATGTTTCAGAAGAAAAAACTGCTTAAAAAAAAAAAATCTTATTTTATAGTAATACAGTCGCTGATCAACTATCAGGGCATTAGTAGATTCTACTATAATTCACAAAATTCTGATGACAGCTGGTCCTGAGATTGTCTAAAGCCAGGTAGTTTTTAAGTTGATTATTAATAAATTTGTAATGTAAAAGTCACGTGATGCATATAAATTACTACCTGACTTTAGACGATCCCTGCATTAAGAAATACCAACAATGTATTATGCAGGCGATTTTATTAGTTCTAGGAGCATTACTGTTTGCAATATATTTTTGGAGATCATGTGATTATCTAATCATCGCGCAAGCCTAAGAAAAGTGTGATATGGAACTTTTGATATGCCTTATTTGAAGATGCGTATAAATAATCTCTATAAGAAATAATATGATTTAAAGATTAATTTATCAATATAACTAATCTCCAAAGATTATCTTCATTATAGAATTAATCACCGAATATTTTTATTGCAT